GGGGCTGCGTCCTGACCTCGCCGCAGGCAGGAAGCTGCCCGGCCGCTCGGTCCCGGCGTCCCCCCGCGATCATCAGACGGGGCCCTGGGCCGGGTCCTCCGCTCCTGCGCTGGGCCCTTATGCGGCACCGCACCAGCCGGCCCAGCAGCCCTGGCTCGCCTGCTCTGCTCTGCCCCCGGCAGCGGTAGCAGGGTATGGGGGCGCTGCTTCAGGGATCAGGAGGCAGGGGTGGCACCGGCATGAGCTAGAGGGCACCTCACCCTTTTCCAGTGCCCTTCCCTGCAGCACCTCTGGCTCAGGCTCAGCAGCAGAGAGGGCAGAGCAGCAGCAGCACACCTGAGGCATCACTAGGCAGCTGTGCCCGATGCCCAGAGCAGTGCCAGCAGCTGCAGTGCAGGTGACAGCAGTGCAGTTGTGGCTATTTTTACACTCTCCCCTCTCCCCAAAGGCGGCAGCCAGTGGGTAGTACAGGCGTGGGTGGGGGGAGGGAAGAATGTTGCCTCCTTTTCTTGTTGCCAAGTCCAATCAACATGTCATTAAAAAAAGGTGACATCTCCCCTTTGCTCTCCATGCTGTTTACTACCCAGGATGCCTCTGCTGGGTGCTGACCATAGATGTTTCTCCTCTTCCCTTCCAAACAGCTTGACTGTTAGATCAGCTCTCACTATCCCCCTCCTCTTTCCCATCACAAACCCAGGGGAGAAAGGCCTTTTCTGAGCAAGAAGTCTGCCTCTCAAGTGCAGCTCCAGTACGCCAGAGGACACTGGCAACATCCCGTCCTTCAGAAGCATAAAACAAGTCATCCCCATGCCAGCATCACTCCCTGAGAGCCAATGCTTCCCCATTGCTAAGGGTTACTTATGCTTTGCAAAAGAAGAGGCGTGAGGCAGGGGACCTGATGCAGGTTTTTCTGTACATAAGTGTTTTTGACACCACAGCCTGTTGCTTATAATAAAACAGAAATCAGAAAGAGCAGCCAGAATACACACCCAAAGGCAAAATCCCTCGGCTTAAAAAAAGGAGCTGTCTGTTCCCAAGGATGGGGAGGCAGACAGCCAGGGGGTCCAAGGGGTGGGGCTACAACTGCCCTGGCTGGGAAGAAACACAACACAAAGAAAAAAAATCCACCCAACATTCCCACTGCTGGGCAGAGGAGAGCCAGAAAACAGATTGTCCAGTCCTTAGAGTCCTTGTTAGCACCTGTACAATAAAACTGTACCATCTACATACAGCGGCGCAGCCCTGCTCCGCTCCTGTCGGGGGCAGGCACCTGCCACCTCCAGCCAGCTCTCTCCAGTAGAACTGCTCCTATAAAACAGAAGAAAGGGATGTGTGCAGGGTGGGAATGTAAGGGCCTGTTTGGTGCAGACACATCACATGGGGAGGACATGGGCCATCTGCGTGTAGGCCACAAGGATAGAAAGTGTCTGGAGTCCCCCCTGCCTTGGGCTTAGGAGCTGCTCAGAATCCTGGGCTGCAGCTGGCTCTTGTAAAGCAGCTCAAGGGAATCCAGAGACAAGTGGCATGAGTGAAATGTATGAACCAGCCTGGGGGGTGGTTGGGGGAGCCTGAAACATGGGGGTGAGGAGGGGAAGGCATGGCTCTCAGCTGGCCTCATTGATGAAGGGCCCCAGCAGAAGCCAGCTCCAAAACTGGTGGGGGGGGGTGGCAGCCCACAAGACCCATTGCTCAACTTGGTGTCAGTTGTGAGAGCTGGTCCCTTCGATATCATGACTTGCCAGGTCTGTAGTCTGGGAGGTATCTGCTCTTAGAAGAGCAGGATCGTCTGGGAGTGTTGGGGGGGGGGCTGGGACGGGATCTGAGGAAGCCCTCTTCCCATAGCCCAGGGCTCACATCATCACAGTGATACAGACTCAGCAGAAACAAAGAAAACATTACAAATTAAATACTAATTAAATAAATACTATGGAAGACATTGGGAAGGGGAGGGCAGACAGAAAGAGAGATGGTTCCATAGGGCAGGGTGGGTTGGGGCAGGGCTGGGCAGAAGCACCCACTACCACTCACTTCAGTAGAGCCTGTAGCTGGTTATCTAGCCAGGAACCCAGCTAGTACAGCCCCGTGGGTGGGGCCCAGCTGCTTGCCCTAGCTGGAAAGGGCTAGCAGAGAGCTGCATTTGCTGCTGCTGCTCATCACAAAGGGACCCAGGGAAATCCTTGGAGATCAGTGGCATCTCTCCCCATTTACAGCTTAGGCGCCAGAAGGAAAGGAAAACGAATTGGCCAAAGACTCCGCGTCCCTGCTGCTGGCATTGAGAAGGCTGCTTCCCACTGGTCCATATTATTGCCTCATGATGCAGTCTAATGCAGGGAAAGATTCATTCCCCGTCAGCTGCTCCAGGCCTGGTACTCCAACACTGAGCCCAACAGCTGCAGCAGCTCAGGGTCATATCGCACCAGCTCCACTGTCTCTGCAGCACCCTGAGCAAGTGGCTCTGGGGTCTCCTGCAACTCTTCCTGGGCCAGCACCTGGCTGAGGGACACCTGCCGCTGGAACTCCAGCTTGGGCAGGGTGGCGATTTCAAAGTGCGGGAAGCGAGCCTGAAAGATGCGGGAAGAAAGCTTCAGCCTCTTGAGAACATCAGAGAAGAGAAACCAGTTGCAGGGCCTGTAAGGGCAGGAAGAGACAGGTTAAAAGAACGAATTCCACACCCTCACTTTCAGCCCCGACAATCTCAGGGCCTAGGCTTTCTGGCTTGGAAAGCCAGGCCTGACCTCAACCCCATGGATGTAGCCCTCCACAGGTACAAGAAGCCACTAGCTAAGCTACCTGTGTGCAGGTATGCTTTGTAACCAAATGCTCTTGGGGCAGTCGCATGCCAGCCCATGTCCCATCATGCCTCCCTGCTACAGGCAAACCTAGAGAATCCAAAAAGGAAAAGGGCAAGTACCCCAAGTCCCACCTTCCTGGTGCCACCAAAACTGTTCCCGGCTCATCTTCATATCCATATGTCCTCACTCCCTTCTTCACTCCCAGGGTCCAGTACCCACCTCACCCTTCCCCAGAAAGGAGGAGTTCACTGCACTCTCCCATGTCACAAAACCCCAAGGAATAATCCTTCATATTGGTTTTCATGTAGTTGGGACTTGCTGCTTCTGCATTCACCTGATAAAGAAAATGCAGCCTCCCCCAACAGACGATCTATAACAGGTTCTCTCTCTGTACAAGCCATTGGCCGTACTGGGAAAACACTGCGCTAAAAGGATGAAACTTGCAAGTCAGAAGCCCAAGATTCTGGTGACCAAATTCCACAGAACAGCTCCCTGCCCTGAGTGCCTCACACACTCCTTCAGCTGCTCAGCAAGCTCTACAGTGGCTTAAAGGAACTACCTGCTCAGAAAGCACAGCTCTCTCTGGCCATTTGGTCCCTGCAGTTAGCCAGAGCCTCCAAGATTCCTCTTACAGGAGCTGCAAAGTGTCCCTCCCCAGTGGGCCCTTTTGGTTAATTCTTATTGATGCTCCCTATGAAATCATGAGTGATCAAGAATCCAGAAGCCTGAGACAGCAAATCTTGTTAGCTAGCAGTGGCTGTCCCCAAATTTCATCAGCTTCTCGTGGTACTTTCCTTTGCTAACCACTATGTGGGCTGAGGCTCAGTCAAGGCCCTTCCCAAACTGTTACTGATTGTTTTACCCTATATGCATTTGATAAATAATGCCTGAAGCAGTTGCCAAAGGTCAGTGGGGCTTGTGCCCTTTGTGGTTTGTTTATGATGTATCAACAGAGCCTAAAATGTCTCCCTCTTCCCTGCACATGGGTTTTAATTTCTGCTTTCTTTTAAACATGAGCAATTAAGAACTGTTAAGGCAGAAAGGCATTAGGATGACAGAAGAATTAGCAAAACAGTGAAGTTACAAAACTTCAGAAACTGAAAGTTGAAAAACTGAAAATGAGGTATTTTTTACTTTTGTAATAATAATGATGATAATAAAAATCACACCATAATTAAATAGGTTTAGAAGCTGGTTTATTCTAATTCTTGCAAACCTCTAGCATGGACACTCAAGCTAAGGCCCTAGGCCTCAGATCAACATCAAGAGTGTCTATACCTGAGGTCTTCAACATTCAGCTATTTCAGAGTTCAACTCATTCTAGTAATTGATACAACCTGTTGTGTGCAGAAAGGCCTAAAGCAAAGAAAAAAGAACATAAATCCCCCACATTCCAGCCCTTCCTTTACCTTATAAAGTAAGCGCACATCACAGCAGGAGAGGCCTAATTTTTTTTAAATCTCCTTTTCAGGTCAGTGCTAATTAAAAGTCAAAGAAAAACAAGCAACAGTTCTACAGCATCTCATTCAGGCACTGCAAATGGATGGAGCCTTGGAGTATCTCATTCCCAGCTTCTGCCCCAATCTGGGGTCCAAAATGAGTGTGCTGCATGTGTCAGATTTACTTGCATCCAAACTTCCAATATCAGCTTTTGCAAGCGGAAGTTAAACATTAAACATGGCCACTTGTAAGTGTTCCTGCATCAGCAGTAACCCACGGGGTAATGAGCCACACAGTGGGATTTGGAGTTGAAGTATTCTTCTACACAACCATCTATCCTATGCATGAATGTATGCCCATTCAAGCAGCTAGGAATGTGTAAGTGTGCAAAGATTTGCATTCTTCTAAGAAGGAGGGAAGAGGAGTGCGCATTTCTGCATTCTTAATCTTTCATGTCTTTTTTTCAGTTTAAGCAAAACAGGCCTCCTGCTGGCTGTCAGAGAATGTTTCAGTGGAGTTCTTTTCACCACCACCAATAGGTTGAGAATATCAAAGTATTCTACATTATGTTGTGATTCTTCAGTCAAGGAGAACTTACTGCTGAACAAGAATTCAGTGGCCTGAATATCTCATTCATCTCAGTGGGGCACAATCACAACCAAAACTTAAAATGATGGCCAACACTCACCTTGTCAGTAAATTTAATATTGATAATTTTAATAGACACCCACCCAGCTAATGTGCTTAGCCCATAGTCTCAGACCATCTTTCCCAGTGCCACAAGCTACCATCAATGCTTTCTAGCCATCTCTGATGACTTTGAAGTCTAGTTGTTTGACAAGTGCACAAGTGATGATGAAGAGACTCGAGGACTCATGCTGCAAAATTTTGTCTAGTTTGCCACAGACAGACAGGACCTTGACAAAAAAGATACCTGGTTGCATCTATAACTAAGGAGCCTTCACTGACCCCAGAGTTGGTGCTGTCTGTGGTGCACAGGTCCCCTCCACAAACTTTTAGGTGATATATTGGCTGCATTTTACAGAGGGAGAAACAGAAGCTAAGTGTTCAGAGGCCTGGTTTGCACTAGAATGCTTTGCCTCCCCTCCCCCATGGCTACCAATAGGGCAGCTCCAAGTTTACTGTCAGTTCTGGCACTCCCACCAATGGAGCAAGCACTGTGTTCGTAGCTTGGAGCGTAATTAGAATGTGAGGTACTTAAGGAGGAAAAAAAGCAGCAGCCCAGCATGGTGTCTGCATAATTGTTGCTGGTACAACCACAGTTGGACACAAACAGTGACAAGTGCCACAACAGAGGGAAAACCAAGGACAAGTTTCCTGGTGTATGCAAGGTGTATACTGCTGTTTGGCAAAAGTTGAAGACGGAAACTCAAAACCACAGTGAATTTTGGTCTTACTGGCATCATTCATTCTTTTATAAACCCCTGCCTTATTTCCTTTCCAAATCATATAGTGCACACCTTTTGATTCTCTTGTATAGAATTCTTCCATTTCACATGACTGAGCTTTCTCTCTGTTCTTGCCTTGGTTTTTTCCACCTCTACAATGCCCCTCTGGAGAGCAGAGAACCAAACTTAAAGACCCAAACTGGATAAATAAACACAGCCTCTGTGCCAGGGGTGAGCAATTATTTTGGGTGGAGAGCCATTTAACAAGTTCTGGTGAGCTGTTGAGGGCCACATACACACAATCTTTTAGAAGATATCATTTTAGCAAATTCTAGATAAAAAAAAAATCATATACTATCAAACATCTCTTACAATATATTTTAATTTTATTTCCAAAAATATTTTTGTCCTGATTTATGTTTTTTTAAGTAGTGTATATAGAGGTGATTGCATAACAGCTCAAAATAAAATCTTACTCTTGTATATTGCGTGCGGCAAGGTGGGGTGGCTGTGCGGGTAGCTGCTAGGTCCTGGGGGCCAGCTGGGGATGGAGAGGCAGGGGGCATGTGCAACAAAGCTTGCCTAGGTGGTGCAGGTGCAGTCTGCCCTCTCCCTTTCCACCCAGCCCACGGCTGCCCCCCTGGTACTCTGCATGGGCCTGAGCCCCGCCTGCTCCCACCCGGGGCAGCCTGCATTGTGCTCCTACCCATGCCCACCAACCTCAGTCAGCGCACACAGCTTTCCACTGGGGTTGCTCCCAGTGTGGGTGCAGCTGCCCAGGTATTGCTTGGCTCCCCCCGCCTCCAGCAGCTCTTCCTCCTTCTCCTCCTCCTCCTGCACTGCTCCAGGTAGAGAAGAAGCTGCAGCTGGGCAGATCCTGCCCAAGTGTGCAGGGTGCCAGCTCCAGCTCCCAGCTGCCTTCCACCCATTTGGCAGCCCACAGGTGGCTGCTCATTGTGCCAAGTGGGCAGAGTGGGTGGAAAGCAGCTGGGAGCAGGAGCCCCAGGTGCTGGAGCCACCTGGCTGCAGCTTCCCCTTCACCTGGAGCAGTGCAGCAGGGGCAGGAGGAAGAGCTGCTGGAGGCAGAAGAAACTGAGCAGTACCCATGCGGCTGCAGCCACACTGAGAACAGCCCTGCCTGGAAGCTGTGTACTCTAGCCAGGGCTGCAGGACGGATGGGTGTTTGGTGCAGGCTTTCCCAAGCAGGAGCAGGCAGGGCTTGGCCCCATATGGAATGCCCCAGGCTGAATCCAATCAGTTGGGGGGGGTGCTCACCTGTGGGCCAGATCTAGCCCACAGACCATATTTTGCCCACTCCTGCTCTACAGTAATCTCCACCCAACACTTAACGATGCCTGAACACTTATTTGCTTCTTTGATTTTGGGTTTACAATGCTGACATTTCCTCACATCCATTTCCATAATGGAATAGCCCAGTACTATGCACCTTTATGAGACAGTACTTCAGTGGACAGTGCACCAGAATGGAAACCAAAAGACTTGAATTCTATTTCTGGCTCTGCCACTGACACACCAGGGGCAACTCTCCATTCCTCTACCTCCTTATCTATAAAACAGAGATAAGGGCATTTCCCCCAGTCAAACACTCTGATATCTACAATGAAAAATGCAAAGTAAGTACAGTATATCAGCTATCTCTATTGTGTTTCTATAGTGCTTGCCTTGGCTCTCAGATGCACTCAAGCATGCATCATCCATTGCTCAGTATATGGACATCCCATGTACCCTGCCTACTGTTCTCTCTGCCCCCTTAGAGGGCAGCATGGGGTATTCTTGCCCTCTCAGCTAACCAGGCAGGTGCATGTTCTCCATTTCACTGACTCCCCCATTTCTCAATTAGATCAACTTCCCCAACCCTGGCTAGAAGGCCAGAGGTTAATATTTTTAAACTTTAGAAAATGGCAGCTCTTAGTTTCCATTCTTTTTGAGATAGCAAAGTGATTCTTGTGTTGTAAAGACCTCTGAAAGACCACATCAGGTCAAAATGGTACCTAAACTATAGATTCCTATTTGAAATGTCTGGGTTTGTCTTGTGAAGCACATGCAAGTGTTTACACACCTAACAGTACTAATATTGCATAACAATTGCAGCACCCTGGTTGAGAATCTGCTCCACTTGATACATTTCTGCTTCCCAAATTTCTCAGTCTCAGGATCTGCTGTGCAAAGACTTAGTGACACTTACCCTCGGGAAACTGACACTTGGAGGTTGTAGCTGGGAAGCAGAGGCTTGTCTGAGAACTCAAACATGAATGTGTCGGAGTCTTGTTCTTCTTCTTGATCCGAATTTCCAGGAGGATTGAGCAGAAGGTCACAGCTAATCCCATCCTTTCCCTCTGAAAAAAGCAAAATTGGGTGTTGGCAACCCCCAGGCTTTCACTCTAGCTGACACACATTTCCTTGGGAACTGGTGATGACATGGAGGGAGGGACAGAAAAAACTCCCAGCACCAGGAGTATAATTCAGGGCCCCTGCACAGCAATGCAGGCTGGGACAGCCATATTCTTACTGGGCTGAGAGCAAAAATAGGCAATAAAACATTTCACATGGTTCCATGAGACTATGAGTGGCTTTATCTGCCTGATTATGATTTGGTCACTATGAGATCGATGGAGCCTGCGTTGTCATAGTTTCATAGTTTCTAGGGTCAGAAGGGACCTGAGCAGATCATCTCCCCCTGTCATGGCAGGAAAGAGTACTGGGGTTCATCCAGCCTCCTTTCAAAGACCCCCAGGGTAAAAGCCAGCACCACTTCTCTTGGAAGTTGGTTCCAGATCCTACCTGCCCTGACAGTGAAGTAGCGCCTCTTGATATCTAGCCTGAATCTACCCTCTGCCATGTTATTTCTAGTCACTCTTGGTAGTGCTTGGGGGCACAGGGACTCCCCCAATGCCTGCTGGTCCCCCTCTCACTAGTTTGTAAATGGCCACCAGATTCCCCCCTTGGCTTCTCTTGTGGAGGCTGAACAGGTTCAGGTCCCTCAGCCTCTCGTCATAGGACCTGCCCTGCTGCCCCCGATCATGCAGGTGGCCCTCCTCTGGACCCACTCCATGTTGTCCACATCCCTCCTGAAGTGCAGCACCCAGAACTGGACACAGTACTCCATCTGCGGCCTGACCAGTGCCGCATAGAGGGGGAGGATCACCTCCTTGGACCTGCTTGAGATGCATCTGTGGATGCATGACAAGTTACGGTTGGCCTTCCTGACCGCGTCCCCACACTGTCGGCCCATGTTCATTTTGGCATCAGTAATGACTATTGAAAACTGTATACTGAAGGAGCTACAACTCACTCAATATGACATGCCTCAGAAACCCATCTGTGGGCAATGAATGGGGCAACAGGGGCCTCAAGGACTGCTGTATGGCAGCAGAACTACAAATCAGGTGGGGGAAGGCAGAGAAGTCGAGAGAGCTGGACAGATGCTTGCTTAAGCTCCACCTGGCGAAACACACTGCTACAGGTCAAACGGAGAAACTGAACACTGGGGGGGGGGAAGGGTCTCACACTTCCTTTTACCCCAGCATCTAGGTAAATAATAAGCTGGTTCCCCTTCCCCCGGGGCTGGATTAACCCTTTAGTGGGCCCTAGGCAGACACACTCATGAGCCCCTACTTAATACTGTATATTTATATTACTTTATTTTCACTCAATAATTACACTATATAAAATAAGCACAACTGGGCCCCTTCTTCACTTAGGGCCCTAGGCATGTGCCTACTTTGTCTATGTGTTAATTCGGTCCTGCCCTCCCCTCTGCAAGGCAGGCCCAAGACTGTTCAAACTAGGGATGTGAACAGTTAAACAATTAATTGTTTAACCAATAAGCCCAGTGATAACCAGTTCTAGCTAACTGGTTATCATTTAGCATGGGGCGGGGTGCAGTTCAGCAAGGTAAAGGTGGGGAGGGAAGCCACATACTGCCCCAACAGGAACCAGAAGGTGGCAGGACAGGTGGGAGGGAGAAGGAGCGAGGATGAGGGGGAAGGGGGAACTAGTACCTATAGCTAGGCTCTGTGAACCCCAGTGCAGCTGCTTCCAGCCTCCCCACCACCTGCCACAAAGCCTGGCAGGGTAAGGTGGAGGTAAGGGGGTGCAGGGTGGTTCCCCAGGGCCTGCAACTCAGCCCCATAGTGCACCCTGTCCCATCCACATCTGGGCCCAGAGCACTATACCTTGCTCGTTGTGAGGTGCAGCCCTGGAGAGCTATCTGGGGAGCCACCAACCCCACCATACCTCAGAGGGCTTGAAACACCCTGCTGGAGCCAGGCAGAACAGCCCCACATAGGCCAATCTGGGGGTTGCCATACTGATTAATCATCTGACCATTGTAGTAACAACTGGTTAAACAGATATTTTTTAAATTGGTATTTACATCCCTAATTCAAAGCAATAATCTCTTCTATCCAGAGCCTATCCTCTCCAGACTCAGGTAGGTCAGGTCCACCAGATTCCAGCTAAGCTTCTTGTCCAATTCCATATCTCGGGTGCAGGGGCTGGTTTGTTTCAGACTGCTGGATACTCTTCATGCAGAGCTCCATTGGCAACTCCATTCTGTGGTTCAGTTTTGAATGGTTCCTTACCTTACAGGTCTTTCAAGATGTTTTTTCTACATGGACCCCACTTTTGGTACCTATGTCTCACATAAACATTTGGCTAGCAGCGACCATAATAGCCACATATATACCCAAGCCTACCCCCTCCAATGACTCTCCTAAAGGCAAAAAGGACCTGTTGGCAGGAAGCATCACTAAGGTGCTTTACCACCTGTTACACTAAAGCAGAGGTGGGCAAAATACAGCCCTTGGGCCGGATTCAGCCAGCCAACCCATTCTATCCAGCCTGCAGGGCCCCTCCAAAAAACAATTATTACCAGCCCACAGCTGCCCCTCTGAAAGCCAGCAGGAGGCAGGCTTTCAGAGGTCATGTGCCACTGAACCAGGCAGGCTCTGTGCAGCACTCCTGCTGGGAGCCCCTTTTGGAAGCACCAAATGTGGTGGTAGGCGACTGGCCAGCTGGTAAGTGGGGGGGGAGCTACTACGTGCATGAAGGAGGGATGGTGTAGGGTTTGTGGGTGGGTGTAGAAGTCAGTGGGGGTGGGAACCCTGCTACAGGCTCCCCCTCTCCCCCCCTGCCATGGTGCAATTCCCACCACCAGCAGCAGCAGGCCCTCATAGCGTTCATAGCCCATGGCAGGCAGTCTCCTGGCAGCGCATGGTTAGGCTGAATCCCAGGTGCTGCAAGTGGCAGGACAGAGCTGGCCCAACCTGCTGGCACATGCCTTCAAACCAAACCAGGCTGGCTCTCTGCCAGCACGTGCGGTTTGCTGCACTACAGGTGGGAGCTCCACAATCATTGGGCCAGGCTGCCTCCATGGCTCCATGTGGGGCTTCTAGCACTCCAGCAGGGAGCCACATGTGAAGTTATAGAGTCCACCTGGCCTGATGGCGTGCGGACTGTATGCCACAGGGAGTCATGCACCATCAGGCCAGGCCAAGACGGCTCCATGATGCCACATGCACTTCTGGGGTTCCAGCTACAGCTGCATGCCACCAAGGGGCTCTGCCTGTGCACCACGGGGGAGGTGTGGAGGAAGTGTAGTGGGGCCTACACACCCCACACTCACCCACACTCCCACCCCCCCACAAACTCCACCCCTTCACAGTACCCCCACAAACCCTACCCCCAGAGCTGTCCCAAGGGTACAGCAAATTGGGGCGACTGCCCCAAGCCCCATGCTTTAGGGGGGCCCTGCAGAGCCAGGCAGAGCAGCTGCAGCCCCGGCCCCCTCCCACAGGGCCCACCTGGAGCTGGCCGCTCAGCCCTGCACCACAGAAGAAGCACGGAGACCCCCCACTCCTTTTGCAGGGGTACCACAGCCTGCACAGTGTTAAGGGGATACAAATAATCTGCTGCATGGTTCTGTCCTGCTGAGGTAATACAAGGTAACATTTAAAGCAAGCAAAGTGTGGAATTCAGAGTCTGCCAAGAATGAGTGAAGTTTTGGTAATCATATAAAACAATTAAGTGAAAATCTGATACTACTTTAGGAAAAAAAATTAGGATAGAGAAGAAGAGTGCCTGTTCTTACAGAAGGTGGTGTGATCCTGTCATTGGTGCTTGGATTTCTCTCTCTCTGGAGATGATAGCCATCAAAAATGCTATCTTAGTTAGCAATTTAAAAGAATACAATAGAATGGCAACATTCAAGTCCCCAGGACAGAAAAAATCCCTAAAAGATAGAAAAACGTGTTGCACCTTCAAAAGTGCTTACCGTAGAATTAAAAAAAAAAAAAAAATCACATGGAGGATTGTCAGGCAGAGTTGTTCCTAGGGGAACCTTCACAGAACTATCTGAGGGACCTGAATGTTCAGTGATAAACGGGTAATCCAGGCTAACAAGAATAGATGCATTTTCATGGTGAATATTATGGCAAAATCCCTTGCTAAAACCAGTTTCTACTTAGTCCTGTATGTTGTTGTAGGTTTCCAGCTTAGAATGAAAATGTCCTGTATTACAGAACAATATCTATCTCCCAGGCTCAGCCAGCCACTATCCAAGCTGTGAAATGCAGAAATGCTGGAACCATATATGGAAACAGACCTTGATCCTCCAATTCAACAGCCAGAATGACTGGGAGCTTGAAAAACTGCTAAATAGGTAGGTGTACTGCCTCTGTGTATTAAACCATCACATCCATGCCAGATTTTCTTCCTAAAGAAGCTCACTATTAGAGGGATGGTGAGTAAAAGCCAGTCTGAATTCCTAGAAACTGTACAACTACTAGTTTGATCTGATGCTGAACACATCATTCCAATCCCCCTTAAAAGACATGAGGGGAACTGTTCCTTCTTGTTCATTTAAGTAGTGTGTTGCTGTCAAAACTGTAGTATTGAAATTGTTACTAAAGGTACTGGACATAGTGAAATCACAGCTGGAAGCCTGGATTCCAGTATCAAGGGAGATATAGAAGCTATTGACAAAGGTAAAAATCAAACAGGAGATTCCAGTTCTGACGTTACTGTTGTCTCCAGATACACTGGAAGTAGCGGGTGCCAAAAGAATCAGTACTGGATTAGAAACTGTTACTATTGTTGTCTGCCCATCATGGCATGGTATCTGAAGAACTGACAGTGATATAGAACGTGGTGCCCCGGTCAGTAGTAAAAGTGTCTCAACTGAATTGGAACAGTGCTGAATAGCTAGCCTGCTGGTCAGATTTGGTGTAGGCAGATTTATTGTAGCCAGCTGGTAAGATTTGGATGCTGGAGCCTGAAACTGACCTGTATGAGGAGTGAATTTTCACTTTCTTTTGAGCTGGGACCAGGGATGGTGATCAAACTGTCAGGCCAGTTTCAGAGCCCTTCTCTTTTCTCCAAGTAGGAGTCACTGGCTGATCCAAAGGACCTTTGATGAGGCGGCTAGCTCTTTTTGAATCTGAAAAGAGCTAACCTCTGGAAATGAAACTGTAAATGCCTGGGAAACTAGCTGAATGCTATTTTGAAGCAACGAGCTTTTCACAAAAGGGTTTTGGATCAGATCTTCCCTTCATAGCACACTAACAAAAAAAAATAAATACGCAACTCCAGCTTTGAGTGTACCTCACAGAACATTTTCATATTAATCATTTTTTTTTTTTTTATCTACCTGCCCCTTTCCTTAGTTGAGATGCACGGATCATTCAGGATAAAAACAGACAACTAGCAAACTCAAGACTTTACAGATAGACAAGCCTACTGTCTCACATTAAGTACCTGTGAATTACTCAAATTAACACTTTGCCTCAAACAATTGGAACAATCAGCTCTAATTCATCTTAACTGACATTTAAGCCTAGTGTGTAAACAGCTATGGTGTTTTGGTGCAAGTCATAGCCCAGCCTAATCAGGGCCCTAATTAAACCAGTTGTCTGTTTTTAGCCTTAAAGGTATGGCTGCTTTACAAGCTGGAAAAGTCTTAAAGCCTGGAGACAAAGCCTCCATCACAGAGGTGATCCAGTTACTGATAACTCAGTACTGAGAAAAACTTTCTGAAGAATTAGTGAGTTTCTCTTTTCCCCATTTTTTTCCTGACAGTGGATTTAACAGATTACTACAAAGACTATCAGGAAACTAATATTAAGAATAATGGCAAAGGTAGTTGTAAGGTAGCAGTGGACCAAGATGTGGGTCCCCTAAGAAGAAACTGAGTGGCACCTGGGGCTCCTTTACATTTTAAAACCGAAGAGGGTTCATAAGCATCCAAATGCTTAGGGATGATCCTGCCTTGAGCAGGCACTGGACTACATGATCTTGTTAGGTCACTTCCAGCTCTACTTTCCTATGATCGTATGAAATGGAGACAACTGACCAATAAATCCAATCTCACGCATGTGGGGAAGCATCTTATTTAAGCCAGAAGCTGGCAACATTTTGGGGCATGGGCCACTTCCAACCTGGCCTGCTCTGCTATAACCACCACTGGCACTTCCTCCCACCCAACCCCCAACTCTGCTTGGCTACTGCACAGGCAAAGCCCCCCCAGCTTCATGGGCCAGATCCAATCCATGGGGCATAGGATGGTAAGTCCTCATGTAGACTAATACTCAAAGAAAAAGAAAGAAGAGTCAGAAACTAGGGGCTTCTTGATACAGTGAAGGGTGTGGAGTACTTCATATGCTCAATTCATGCTCTTTTTTTTTACCCATGGATCAGGAGGCAGTGCCACAAGTCTCACAAGTTCCAGATTGCCTGTTTATTCTCATAACTGTCCAACAGTTCCACTGTCTCTGCTCTGAAGAGGCAAATGGAAATGGGATTTACTGAACTCACCAAGTACAGAGCTGCTGTAGAAGTCCCATGCTGTCTGAGGGTCTCCATCAGTGCGCCCTTGGAGATCTGAGAGGTAATCTGAAGGGAAAACAGTATAAGGCATCACACACAGACCAGCTAGAACACAATGCTATCACAGAATCATAGAAAAGTAGGGCTGGAAGGGACTTGAGGAGGTCACTTAGTCCAACTGTCTGCACAAGGCAGAATCATTCCTGTCTAAACCATCCTACACACATTTGTATCTAACCTTCCCTTAAAAACTTCCAAGGAGGGAGATTCCCACAACTGCTCTAGGTCATGGGTGTCAAACATACAGCTCACAAGCCAGTTCTGGCCAAGAGAGCTTCTCCACCTGACCCCCAGGCTATAGGCAAGCTAGGGAATTTGTAGCTGTGGCTAGGAGAGGGCAGGGCTTGCCATGGAATCTGAGGCTTCAGGACTGTGGGACAGCCTTTGGTAGCAAGCAAGGGCTGTAAACCTTCACACTGAGGCTGTCTGACACATGGCCACTTGCCCTGCTGCCGCTGCCACTTGTGCTGCTTCCGTCTCATCATGTGACCACTTGCCCTACTGCTGATGAACCCGCTGCAGACACCAATTGATCTGACTGAAGACATGGGGTGAGTTTGTAGACAACAGTCATCACAGCAGTAATTCCAAGCACACTTGAGAGTTTAGCCAAGGCCAGAGGTACACACAGGCACAGCTTAGCTAGCACCTTCCAGAACCAGAGGATTCTATGAAGTACCTCATCAACTTGAATTTAGAAGGGGAAAAAGTAGCTAAAAAGCAGCTGGAGGCAACACCTGTTCTATCCCTTTATAGTCACCCTTCCTAACTGTTTCTCTCCCTTGCTGCTGCACAAGACCCACAAAAATTAGGGAAAAAGTGATGCTGAATAGACCAGATGGTGCACGTACCAAACACAGCTCAATCCAATCTTTCAGCTACTGCATTCTGAAGCATTACTTCTAATAATGGCAGGTAAACAAGTGTTCAGATAAAATGATTTTAGAGTTGACAGCATCTTTTCTCAGCTGCAACAGTGCTAATGGGGTATATTTGGTAGCTGTGTTGGTCTGAGACAAAAAGAAATTCAAAACTCTAAAACTCTTGGTTCAGAGATAATACCTTTTATTAGACCAACTAAGAAATCAAAAAAGATATTTTTTTGTGATTTCTTAGTTTGTCTAATAAAACTCTGAATCAAGGGTTTTAGAGTTTTGCATTTCTCCACAGTGTTAATAGAGCATTTGGGCTGCATATTAGAGCCAAGCATTGCCAGCATTTGGGCTGAATACACACTGGCTTGGCCCCCTGGGAGTCTGCATTATACTGTCTTTAGTTACGTGTTCTGAGTTTTTCATAGATGTCCCTGGATTGTGCACCTAAAACTGGAAAAGGAATTCTATACAGTAGAACTGGGATACACTGCTCATTTAGATAAG